ATAGAAGGTTACCAGTTCGTGTAACCGCGGGCTCGTCTAAGGCTTGCTCCGGAGTACTCTTCTGAGAGCATTTCGACACGCACAACAGGAGGCAGTATGACGCGTTCCTTGGTTGGAACGAGTACTTCGGCAACTTCGTCGCAACTTCGTCCAAGTGCTCCCTGGGAGTAATGCCTGCACCCATAATGGCGGCCAATCGATCCTCATGTCGACAAACCTTCCTAATTTCGAGATCATACTGTGAGAGGGCGACGCCCCATGGCACTAGACGACCTTTGGCGGTCTTGGAATTGATGACCCACTTCAGCATTGAATGTCGGGTGTAGATTATCAAAGGACATCCTTCGATCAGGTTCTTGAAAACATGGAGAACTCGCACAGCCAGAACTTCCTTCTCAGCAATATGATACTTAAACTCGGCGTCATTCAGGACACGCCCGTGAATCGAACAGGTCGAACAAGTCCGTCATGCATCTGTCCTAAAACGGCACAAGCAGTCCACTGATTTGCATGAGGGATAACCACAAAAGGTTTTGTTCGATCCGGATGTCTGAACAAAGGGGGAAGACACAATCTTCCTTTTCAGGATCTCAAAGGATTCCTTCGCTCGAGACAAGCCTCGTCCCGCGCGCACTTGATCGTCTGTCAACTCATAGAGTGACGCAGCTACCACGGCATAATCTTCAATGAATTTGTGGTAATAATTCAGGCTGCCTAGGAATGACTGGACTCCTTTCAGAGTAGACGGAAATGGTAGCTCCTGAATGTCTTTTACGATTTTCGGGGTTGTACGTATTCCTTCGACACCAAAATTGGTATGACACGCTTCCCGAATTCGTTCTTGGGCAAGCTAACCGAGATACCCCAGTACCGTAACCGATAGAGCAGCGCATCCAAATCGCCACATAGTTGATCCCACGTGGCCGCCCCATGCGCGATGTCATCAATATACTAACTGCGCCCAAAGACCGGACCTTTTTTAGATGGCGCGGGGATATTGCGCCTGAAAACCGTCATTTGCTCCACTAGCGGTATCATACTGCGTTCTGCATCCATTTCATCACTTGGCGAATGAGGGCCCAACTTCAGGTAGTCTAACACATCCTGATCCACAAGTGCTTCCTCTTCGGGCGATAACCGTACAAATCCCCATAGACAATTATTGATCATCTGTTGGTAAATTATAGGGGCGTTTTTCAACCCGAAAGGCACACGTACCCACTGAAAATGCCCGAATGGGTCAGTGAATGCTGAGATCGGCTTAGCCCTCTCGGTCATTTGAACTGCCCAAAAGCCGCTCACCATGTCGAGACTCATGAACCGGCTCATTCCCTCGAATCCAGTGATAGGATCATCAATCAGTGGCAGTGGGTAATTCGAGAACTGAATGAAGCTGTTCACGACCCGATAGTTGATATACATCCGAATATCCACTCCGGTTTTCTTGAGTACTATCACAATCGGGGCTCCATGGCGGTTCAGAGTGTTCAATCCACGTAGCGTTCAGAAGCCTCATCAACAACTTGTACACCTTGATTGCCAAGAGCGAACCGACCGGCCGTGGTCTTTGTGCCACTGGCTTGGCGTCACCCACATCTAGATCGCAGATGACACCTGTCGCCGGTGGCGGGGCAGCATTCCCATCACCTAAGAAGATCTTCCGATGCCTTTCCAGGACGGCCTTCAGCTGCTTCTCCTGAGCTACTGTACTCTCGCCAGGTTCTTCATTATTCACAGTTTCAATATCACATTCAGGAGAGAGACCATCCAAGTCAAGTAGCATAACCAACTGATCTTTCAACTTAGAAATGAGCTCGCTCCCTTCAGAATATATAGACCGCTGGTCCCAAATCGAAATCTTCAGCACTCACTCGCATGCACCTGGCACGCTGCGTCAAGTCGTGCGAGTGGTGTTCCAGGCCTAGCAAATAAAGGTATCTCGAAATCCTCGTCTTCCTCGCTTGGGTCATCCTGGAATGCGTCGCATTCAGATTCCTGAAACATTTCATCAACGCCTTCACTACAGGATCTCGAATTGGCAACCTCTCCGCTATCCTGAGCATTGGCACCCAGGGTGGTAACTTCAGGTGAAACTTCAACAGCCATGAGTGAACCAATCACACTCGGGGAGTATGCCCTAAGTTTAGCATTATACAACGTCGATGTTTCTTTGCGATTGTAACACTTTCTTCTGACCTGGGCTCGCTCGGGTTCCTTTGGCCTCACCAGTAACTTCGTTGGTCACCTGTATCGAGGAGCCATAACTGCAGGCGGAGCAGCATCCCGAAACATCTGTTCGTATGTTTCCTGGTGTACCCTGGCTTTCGGGGACACTGTGTTCTCCTGGATAATCTGTTGCCATTCCATGTATCTCCGTAATCCAGGACGCACGAACTGTCCAACTATGGGGATATTCTCATACTCTGCAATCCGAGCAACAGGTGTCCTAGGCTCGATCCCCCAGTCCCGGTCCGAGATGTTGACCACTTATATCGCTACAGCCCACGATCGTGCGCCGTCAACAATTTGGGTGACCCATTGGTTCTCTCTTCCTGCCCATACAACATCTTAGAGCGGACGACACTGGCCATATCGGATGGCCACATTTGCATATTCTCCGGGTCGCAAATGCAATCCTCGAAGGAGGCAGACTGGGATATCCTGGTATTCACGCTTTCGTTTATATATCCGTACATCAGAATAGATTCTTCATCCGGGAGACCAACCATTCCTTCACGAATACCTAGGCGCACCCCAGCACTAACCATAAAGCTATCACTAAAAGCACATGCATTCCTTCTCCAATGTTCGTTGCCCAAACATCCATGACGTACACAACTCGCCATCCCAAAGTGATCTTGATTTGTGCACTCGAAGTGATATAGCTCGGGACGCCACCTAGTTCTGACACTTTGACCCGCTTCTGTGAGTTTAACTTGATCTTGCGCCTACGCGCAAGGTCCAAACTGATCATACTCACAGTCGTTCCGGTGTCAAGTAATATCTGTCTCCTAAAGTTATTAGCCGCTCCATGAACCGTATCACACTGACGTCTTTCCTATTCACGATAATTCTCGACCCACCAACCGTACCGTTCCCCGGGGTTTAACTTGAATTCAGGTTTCTCTTCAGGATCTGGAGGCAATGGTGGTCGAATACCCAAAGGAACAGGTTCATCATGAATCATGGAGGTCATACACTATGGGTTATTTTGGTTCCGGGTCCTCAACTCGGGACAGATATACGCCAACACACACAATTCTGAGGGTTCTCTCGGCCCGACGCGTACCAAATCCCCATTCAGCGGGCTTAATGGTTTAACTGCACTTCCTCAGAATTGTCGTTGTTATTCAGGATGTCTTCCCGAACATGTCTAGACAGGTCAACTAGGCCAACTTGAAGAACGAGTTTCTTGATTTCTTGGAAAGCTTTCCACTCTTCGCAATGTCCATCGTGGTAATTTTTACATTTCGGGAACGACTTGGTCATACAGCTTCGTGTTGGATGTCCGCGTCTGTGGCATCGTCCACATATCATGTCAGTCCAAGACTTCTCCGGGCGATGTCTAAACTTCTTGCATTTCTCACAAAACTCCACACGATCCGGATTGCTATAAGACTGGTATACCTGAAACGCAGCTGGCTGCGCAGGCGGCGGCAACGGTGGTCTTGGGTTGGCGCTCGCACCACTTCTGGCATTCGGGTTCGCCGGTTTCCAACCCACGTTGTTCAAGATACGATAAACCTCATGAATTAGCTCTTCCCTGTTCAGGAACGTTCCACTCGGGTTGTCCGAAATCTGGGCATCCTGAATTGCGGTAGACAGATATTGGAAGGCAAAATCGTTTTCATCCACATCTTGTTCAATCTGGGCTGGCTGCTCGACGTCCACGTTTTTGTCGTCCTGAGCGACTTAAGCTCGGTTCGCACTTTGCTGTCTCATCCCACCTCGGGCGACGTTGCCTACGCTGAAGTCACGATTGGGGATGACCGGGTGGAGTAGCTTCCGCTCGCGTTCACCTCTTCTTGCTGCTTCAAAACGTACTCCAGGTCGGACACCTTATAGAACCTTTGGCTTTGTAGTTTTGATCTGAGCGATCTGTCCGTCCAGTTCTTGATGCACCGCTTGATGTGTTGTTCAAGTCGACGCTCAGACTTCCTGCCTTTCACATCTGCTCGCTCAGCAGCTGAGTCCAGGTGGTACACGAACGCCAGGGCTGTTTCATCATCGTACCGCTTCATCGTGTAGTACTTCTCCGAATCAGACACCCGGAACTTGCAATATTCACGCTTAAACTCACGAGGAAGGCGTCCTCATTTCGTGCGCACACGTTTCCCTAGATGTACGATGGACGCATCGAACAGCTACGCATTCTTTCGGACCGCGAAAGAAAGACGAGCGAAGCAGAAAAGTTGAGGCAACTCTTCGCAGGAAGCACCACTGAGAGTGAGGATACTCTCAGTGCCAAGACGAAGAAGGAGCGCTTCGAGGAGCAGAGTTGGGACTCACTGAAGTCGAGTCCCTATTACGAGATTCTGCGGGAGCAAAGGGACGTGCTCCTGGACGAGATCCCTGTGGAGCTTCCGCAGGACAACGGAATACAGCACGTGATTGATCTTGTGGCGGGAATGAAGTATTGCGTGAGGCGGCAGTGGCCACTACCGCGGGAGTAAGTGAAGGCAATCGACGAGATCTTCGAAAGTCGTCGCAAGGCAGGACAAGTGAGGGAATCGAAGTCCCTGCACAGCGCACCAACGTTCTGTGTCAAGAAGCCACAGGGTGGTTGGCGCATCGTTCATGCGTATAATAAACTGAACGATGCGACGATACCGGTGCAGACGCCGATACCTCGAAAAGATGTCATCATCGATTCGATGTCCAAGAGCACCATCCACAGTGCTTATGATCTGAGAGACGGGTTCTATCAGATCCTCATCCGTGAGAGCGATATCCTTCTAACGGCGTTAAGCACCCCAAACGGTATGCTGTGGGAGTGGCTAGTTATGCCACAAGGACTGAAGAACGTCCCTGCGACCTTCAACAGATGCGTCACGCATCTATTGCGCTCGGTGGGCGACTTCGCCGATCTTGGCTGTGGCTGACCAAGTTCGTCCCTTTCATGTAGTGTGTGACGCATCCGATTTTGCGATCGGATGTGCGTTAATGCAACCCGATCACGAGGGTCGTGATCGAGTCGTCTACTACCAGTCGCGTCAGCTGAAGCAAGCTGATAGAAACTACCCTGTGCATGACAAAGAACTTTTTGCCATGAAGTATGCACTCGCGAAGTTCCGAGTGTACTTACTCGG